AGCATATTGACTGGAATCATGCACCAGACTAGCAGCCAATAGAAAAGCGGAATGGTCATGGGCAACTGTCCAGTCACGCTGTCACTGAGCAAAGCCAGACTTTGCCTATGAATCTAATTACGCCTTTAAACCTAATTTACTGCGCGTTAATCAAGCTCCAACGGTTATGTTAATGGTAAACGCAAATTCATATTTGCTTCGCCAGCGCTTAGCATGTAGGCTGTTTTACAGATCTGCATTTCCTTCGAAGGGCTCAGTGGTCTAGTCGAATGATTCCTGCTTTGGGTGCAGGAGGTCCCGGGTTCAATTCCCGGCTGAGCCCTTTCTTTTGCCATACAGAATTTTTGTTTGGCGCAAAGTCCCGCGGTGTCGCCAAGTCCGCGCTTATCGATGGATGGGCGGTATCACCGTGAGGGTGTCGGTTTTTTGTTTGAAGTCAGGGCGTCCACCGTGCCAGATTGCGTGTGTTGACTGGAATGGGGCCTTGGCAGTCTCTTTTTTCTTCCCATCACCGGGAGGGTTCGCATTCTGTCCTGCTATAAAATCCCCTACAAATCTCCTTCGTGAATAGCAAGTTTTTCCATCAAACCCCAGCTTTATTCTTTTCTATTACAGTACGGACAGAATACACCATAGCTAGAGCACGTCGAACACCAATGAAATCTATCGGACTTTACAAGCATATCTGCAGTGAGATAAGCAAAGGGACATTTAGTCCACCAGCAAGCGGCAGCACGACCAACACTGGTAGCAGCAGTTCAACCACCGAAGAAAAGGACAAACAGTAGTATGCATGGTTTTTTTTGACATGTCACATAATTTTTTTCTTGAAATCTCGTGTGACTCATTTATGCTAACAATGCTCAAATAAATGCCTTCTACAGATAAAAACGATTTGTTCTTTGCTTCTCCTCAAAACCATCATATTTATTTATTTCTAAAGATAAAAAGCAAAATGCCGTCATTTGATATTTACACTGTTGACGCGTTTACGGCTACGGCATTTGGTGGTAATGCTGCAGCCGTTGTGGTTATTCCGCCTGGCGAGGATGTAGATGCCGCGACAAAGCAGGCGATTGCCAGTGAGTTCAACCTGCCGATGACAGCATTCATCCAGTTACAAAACGGCTCGGAGTACTCGCTCCAGTGGTTCAATCCTGTGAGCCCGGCGGCATTCTGTGGACACGCAACACTAGCAGCCGCCCATGTTCTGCTAAACGAGCGGCAAACCCCATTGCCACTCGTATTTGACTCGCGTGTGGGCATGCTC